GAGAGAGTATGGAGGAGGTGAACGTATTCAGATATTTGGGAGTGGACGTGTCAGCGGATGGGTCTATGAAAGATGAGGTGAATCATAGAATTGATGAGGGAAAAAGAGTGAGTGGTGCACTTAGGAGTCTGTGGAGACAAAGAACTTTGTCCTTGGAGGCAAAGAGGGGAATGTATGAGAGTATAGTTTTACCAACGCTCTTATATGGGTGTGAAGCGTGGGTGATGAATGTTGCAGCGAGGAGAAGGCTGGAGGCAGTGGAGATGTCATGTCTGAGGGCAATGTGTGGTGTGAATATAATGCAGAGAATTCGTAGTTTGGAAGTTAGGAGGAGGTGCGGGATTACCAAAACTGTTGTCCAGAGGGCTGAGGAAGGGTTGTTGAGGTGGTTCGGACATGTAGAGAGAATGGAGCGAAACAGAATGACTTCAAGAGTGTATCAGTCTGTAGTGGAAGGAAGGCGGGGTAGGGGGCGGCCTAGGAAGGGTTGGAGGGAGGGGGTAAAGGAGGTTTTGTGTGCGAGGGGCTTGGACTTCCAGCAGGCATGCGTGAGCGTGTTTGATAGGAGTGAATGGAGACAAATGGTTTTTAATACTTGACGTGCTGTTGGAGTGTGAGCAAAGTAACATTTATGAAGGGATTCAGGGAAACCGGCAGGCCGGACTTGAGTCCTGGAGATGGGAAGTACAGTGCCTGCACTCTGAAGGAGGGGTGTTAATGTTGCAGTTTAAAAACTGTAGTGTAAAGCACCCTTCTGGCAAGACAGTGATGGAGTGAATGATGGTGAAAGTTTTTCTTTTTCGGGCCACCCTGCCTTGGTGGGAATCGGCCGGTGTGATAATAAAAAAAAAAAAATAAAAAAAAAAAAAGAAATTGCTACATATCATATAAACAAAATATATACAAATGACCGTTATATTACATGGTTTTATTTGGCACGTTTTGGTTATTGCACTATTGAAAAATTGCGGCACAATTTTAAACAACACTTCATAAAACTAACTTAACACTGTTCAGTTTGTGGGAGGGGAAAAAATTTGGAGTGTCGCCTGTGGGATACTTCTCCTATTATGTTTGCGATTGAGTTTAGATCTTTTAATTGCCATGCCTTGTATCTGCCAAGCAATCATAGCACCCAGCAGGCATACAAGTGTTGCTGAAAGTGGCAAGAAAAGGTTTAAGCATTTCAGTCTAGGAGTTACGAAGAAATCGAGATATTAGACAAGCTTAAGAGTGGCTCACATGTGGTGGATATAGTGAGGGCCTACGGCCCTAATGAAGAGTCAGTTCATACAATTAAAAAGAATGAGGTGAATATATGAGCTTGTGTAATGAGTAACCCAGGATGTCATCTCATGAAAAGAATGACAAATAGATCACAACAAGTAAATAAAACTGAAAACTTGTTGCTTGAGTGGATTGAACAAAAAACAAAGAAAAGTGCACCACTTAATTTCATCTTAATTAGGGAAAAGGTCTTACAGTTGTTTAAAGCAGTGTGTGATAAGGAAGGCCTGAAAGAGTGTATGTTTAGCACAGGTTGGTTCTACAACTTTAGGTTGTGTAATAAGTTACATAATATTAAGTTTTCTGGTGAGAGTACCTCAGCTGATCATACAGCAGAAGTAATTCCCCTGCTGAATTGCAGGAAATTATTTCTGAGGGTGGCTATGAACCACATCAAGTATTTAATGCTGACGAGACAAGTGCTTTTGAAATAAAATCCCAACAAGATCTTACATCAGTAAGCAAGAGAAAAGTACACCAGGCTTCAAGACAGCTAAGGATTGCTTCCCTTGCTCCTTTGCGGTAATGCGTCAGGTGATTTCAAGTGTAACCCATGGTTATTTACCGTTCTAAAAATCCTCATGCTTTGAAAGGTCTAGATAAAAACACCTTACCAGTAATTTGGAGGACAAACCAGTCACTGGTTTTCCCTTGCTGGAGAGTCAGGTTCAGGAAACTGTTCAGCTGGCAAGATTACCAGGTGATGGTTTTGAATATATGAATGAAGATGAAGTGAATGAGCTGTTAGAAGATGATAATGATGAAGACAGGAGTCCAGAGGAAATGTTGGCAGAGCTCAATGCACAGATACAGGGGAGCCACATAACACAAGATGAAGAAAAACCTGAAGAAAAACAGTTAACATTGCAGCAGTTATGTGAGCAGTTCCATGTTGCTGCTAAACCAGCAGACTTTTTCACTGAAGAAGACCCTGACAAATCCAGAAGCAGTACTTTGAAATGGGGTCTAGACAAGCTGATGATGCCTTACTGTCAGCTGTATAATGTACTGCAGGGTAAAAGAGCCCAGAAAAATCCATTACAGAATTTATGCACTCTCCAATACAACCATCGCCTTTAGTACCAGAACCTCTACCATCCACTTCTGCCGACAACCAACAACCATCTACCTCAGCCCAGTAGGGCCAAACCATGCATCTCCACTCTCTTCACAATCATCCACAAACACCAGTACCCACAATTTAAGGTAAGAAATACTATTATTTCTATTGCATTTGTAGTCTTAAGCAGTAAAAACATAATATATCATGACAATGAACTAAAATTACATATTCACTTTTATTTTTGTAAGATTTGTTGGTCTAAAAAAAAGTTGCTTGGCTTTTTGGGGGCTTGCAGGAACATAACCCTATTTTTCCCATAAGTTCTTCAGTTTATCTAACACGGCTTTACCTAATATGGCGTTTTCAGGAACGTAACTACCGTGTAATGTAACGGTCTACTGTACAATCATGGTAAAACAAACAATTGTGAGGTATAGTAGCAGGCCGGGCTACCACACCTGACTTGTTACAGTAGATACTATTCCCCTCTCGCCCTACATTAAAACTACAAATGTTTTAAGGTAAGTAATGAGTGTACTGCATGTGCATTTTACTTTATTTTTTAATGCATAGTTCTACTAACTTAATATATGATAGTGTAAATATCTTACTATGCATTTCTTCTTTCAACACACCGGCCGTATCCCACAGAGGCGGGGTAGCCCAAAAGAAAAAACGAAAGTTTCTCCTTTTACATTTAGTAATATATATAGGAGAAGGGGTTACTAGCCCCTTGCTTCCGGCATTTTAGTCGCCTCTTACGACACGCAAGGCTTACAGAGGAAGAATTCTGTTCCACTTCCCCATGGAGGTGTGTATTTATATTTAAAAAAAAAAAGAGGGGCGATTCACTTTACAGTGGTAGCCTGGAACTTAACCCGCTATGTTAGTGAGGTCTTAGCTGATAGGACAAGGGATATAAAAACTACATAAAGTACTTTCTGTACAGGATTATAAAAGTATGAGAAAATAAAAGACTTCTTTGCACCATTAGCACAAAGCAAGAGGCTGCAACTGCAAACTTAGGAAAAATATAGTGCCAAAAATATAAAAACATTTTCTCCTCAAACAGTATTAGAATAATAAAATGTGTTATAAGAGGTAACAAGTGCTACTAAAGGATTTTCTCTTAACCCTTTGACTGTTTCAGGCCCCTCTCTGAAACTGTCATTCTATGTCGCTCAATTTTTGAAAAAAAAAAAAATTATTTTTTCTTATGAAATGATAGAGAATCTTTTCCCGATGGTAATGACACCAAAAGTTCGAAATTTGGTCGAAAACTCGTGGAATTATGCTCCCGCGAAGTTAGCGGTCTCGGCGACATATGCGTATCGGCGATTTCGCCGACTTTGAGCCCAATTTTCAGCCAATTCCATTGTTCCAGTTGACCAAACTCATAGCTATTTCTTTAGAACTCCATTTTATCTATCAGCTGAGTACAAGAAACCTCCCATTTACTAATTTGGACTACCCAATATGGTGGTCAGAAATTGGCAATTTGGCCAATTTCACGCAAAATAAAAAAGATGCCAATTTCAAAATAGGGTCCAGAATAAACAAGGTAGACATTCGTGGCACTAAAATAACATATGCTCTGTTCATTAGTCACATCTCTAGGCCCCTCTTATATTATTATTGCTTTCTATTTTGATTTTTTATTCATACAAAAAAATACAAAATTTACTGTTATGCAGACGACTGCATTATTGTAAAAATGGTATAAATAATATCAGTGCACTAGTGAAAGAATATTAGACTCCCCAGTTGACGTGTATTGGACGTGTGGTGTGATTTATGTACTCTTGAACATTGGTAAAAATCGAACATTTCCGCTACTTTGAGCTCAGTTTCAAGGTCGTTTTCAAAGTAAAAGTAATGAAAATCATCTCTATTTCTGTAATATGTTTTCCATTTTATCACCTAAGACCATGAAAACGCGAATACAACGATAAATACTATACGAAAATACACCTCAAAGTCGGCGTTTTATTCCAAAAAAACGATCAGAGTTTTTTTTTTCTCATTACGCAATGTGTGCTGCAGGATTTTTTTTATGTGGTGCACACTGACCACACAGACCCATTCTCTCACATGTGGGCCTACCAGCTTTCTCCCGCTTGATTTGAAGCCGCTAGAATTATTGAGTATATATACGTCAGAAACATTGGCTCGTAAGACGTATTTATACGTCGAAAACAGTCAAAGGGTTAATGATTATACGACACCATGAACAAAATTCATGACATGCTTGCAGGTTATTCAGCATTTTCTTTAGCAGCATCATTAGCAATCTTCTTGGGTGCTGTGGGTAATAACGTTACAAAGGGTAGGGTGGAGCAGGGTGGTAAAGACCTAAAATACCTAGGTGGACAAGACAAACATGAAAAGATGGCAGTGTGACACAGCATGGGTCAGGTACCTGGACAATATGTAAGTTGTCTGTGGCATCTCAGAATGTTTAATTAAAATTTCTCATATTTCACCCTAGGATTCAAACTAACAAAAATGTGTCATGCTAAGGCAATTGAGGATATCAAAATATAACTCACATTGTATTGTGGTGTAAACTTGTGATGTTCAAAAACATTTTAAATATGTCTACTGCCCTTAAATTTATAAATACAGAAACTTTGATGCCAGGTAAACTAACTTGAACGTCAGTTTCATCCTCCCCAGCACTTCGTGCTTCCTCTTGTCTTGCACGATCTTCAACAGTCTTCCAAAGTGCAGATTCAATGTCATTAAGTATCTCTCGTTCACCTCTCTGTAGCACAGGTTGGTCATAAACGTCAGCATCTATCTCATTCAACCAGTTTGTATCATCTTCGAATTTTCGAGGTCCAGGATCATCTGAAAAATTAATATTGCTTTAACAAAAGGATCATTCTGAAAAATACAGATAATGAAAAATCCAACCCCCAAATCAAGAGTAAAAGACTTAGATATTAAAACTAGCTAAAAAACTAATAAATAAAAAATATTACAAAGTAAAAAAGTTAATCATTTTCCCTTCTGAGGTAGTGGAGATGTCACATTTGAGAGCAATGTGTAGTGTGAATATTGTAAGACAATTCAGAACATAGAAATTAAGACAGTGTGGGATTACCAAGGGTAAATTCAGAGAAAGGAGGAGGGGTTATCAAAGTGATCTGGGCATTCATAGGAGGTATAGGATGATGATGAGGGTGTATAAATCCGGGGTGAAAAATATGAGGAGTAGGGGTATCCCAGAAAAAGATGGTGGGAGGGGGTTAGAGGAGGCTTTGAATTTTAGGGGCATGAGCATCCAGGAGGCTACAAATAGGTAATTAAATGCATGTATTTAACTTCACAAAAAATATTACATTTAAATAAGCCTATCTCTATTCCCACTGCCTAAAAAATCTGACAATGACATTATAACATCTACCAATCCAATAATACAGTATATACAATACAGTAAATGCATTCAGCCCATCTTTTTCTTGAATAACTATTCATTGAAGTAACATTTGACAGACTACATTATTATTATTATAATCAAAAAGAAGCGCTAAGCCACAAGGCTATACAGCATTGACAGACTACAGAACCAAACTAATGCAAATTTTAGGAAAAGTTTTACTCACAAATTTTATTTACTTGAAATGAAATTTGAAGGAATTGTTTTAGTAAAACAAATGCAGTGAGGGATAGATATATGAAATACAGTATATATAACTGCACTGATTATTACAGACTTCAGAATGAATTTCATTTCATGACTTATCTCGTAGCTAACACAAACCTGGAACAATATAACCCATGTCAGTTCCTGGAGGGAACACAAGTCTTGCATGAGCCAAACTAATAAACAGGGCGGCCAAAGAGGTCCACAACACAGTCGCCATCTGTAACACAAAAGTTGCTAGTATATAGATGATACAATGCATGTATAATTGCCAATTATAAAATCAACAAATACAGTGGACCCCCGGTTAACGAACTTTTTTCATTCCAGTAGTATGTTCAGGTGCCAGTACTGACCGAATTTTTTCCCATAAGGAATATTGTGAAGTAGATTAGTCCATTTCAGACCCCCAAACATACACGTACAAACGCACTTACATAAATACACTTACATAATTGGTCGCATTTGGAGGTGATCGTTAAGCGGGGGTCCACTGTACTCCCCAATTATTGATAAATATAATGCAGATAACCAAAAGCACTTATGGGTCATTGTGATTATTATTAGAGGAGGGTCCCGCTTGACAGCACTAATGCAGCGGTTTTCAATTATATGTCATTCTTTATTTATTCAGACATCCTACAATAAATATATTCACCACTCACTATAAGCTAAGGATGAAAACACTTTAAGGTAAGTAATGTGTGCACTTATATGATAGTATAAAACTTGCATTTGAGAGCAAAAAAAGGCTATGTTCCACTTTACAACAATTTTCAATTAAAAGCAGTTGCCCGGAGCCTAACCTGTTAATTATATAAGCGGGGCATGCCTGTATTATAATTATTATTTAAAGGAAGCCATAAATCTGTTAGGGTCATTCAGCAGGTTGGTCATAATGGGACGAATGTTCCATCAAAGAAATAGAGGTTAAATATACAGATGTTTCTACAGACTGCTGTTAAGCTGTTTAAAACTAAGTATACAGTCGACACATTAAAGTGGTTTAACCTTGAATAACTTGGCATAACCAAAAAAATGAGTTTATATTTAGGTATATATACATACTGTATACACAGTTAACATAATGCAATTTGTTACAATGGTCTTGGAGGCACATGTTATGGAAACACAAAATAATACAACATAGATATAACCTACAGTAAACCTATAAAGAAAAATAACAATGTTTTATTTCCACTGAGGTCTTCTTTACTATGTATTTTATTTAGGCCTATGTATGCCATCTTATGTTTAACACTTCAGAATACTATACTGATAATTTTCATCTAAATCATTGAACTCGTGTAAGCATGCAATGTCCACATACAAATAAACATATGTTCACCTCTCGGACCTCGGTGTGTGTGTGTGTGTATATATATATATTATATATATATATATATATTATATATATATATATATATATATATATATATATACTGATATACACACACTTCTTGGTGTATATATACTAGTCAGCACCTTGGAGCAGGCCTTTACCTATGATATACCTTTGAAGAGTTTCGAGAGTTAAACTACTCTCAGAGCCCGGCCATGGACTAGGCTCGTCTGGTGCTTGCCTGCTCAACCAGGCTGCTGCTGCTGGAGGCCAACTGCCCCACACATCCATCACAGCCTGGTTGATCTGGCACCCGGAGAAGATACTTGTCCAGCTCGTCCATCTGTCCATTAATTGCAACTATACATGTTGCAGGAGAAAATTTACAAAGGCGTAGGCAATATTTACTGAAGCATCACACATTATTGGTGAAAAATGGCTGTTTCAAAATAAAGAATAAAGATAATTGGTTAGTAAATGGGGTTTAAAGACTATCGACTACAACTTAAGTCATTATGGCTGCATATAACCTTCTTCGCCACTAGACTAAGAACACTTTAATTCCTAAAATGGAAATTAAATTGAACTGTCAGCATAAATACGCTGAGAGACATACACCTTTCAGTGTATATATTGTATTAACACAACTGTAACTACACTAACATATTGAACGTCAAGGACTGGAAGCTTCCGTTTCTTACGTAAAATCCTTCATAATTAACCAAACCAGGCCCTTTCGAGCATTGATTCAACTCGCAACTCTGAGGCCACAACATACAGAGTACTTCAGGAATAATTAACCAGTGATCAAGGTAAACACAGGTGAATAATGCAAGTTTATTTACCTTGAGGAAGAAGAACATCCCACTTCCTCGACCCCCAACACTGTACTGAACCAGCGGTTACACTCCGGGTCACACTTCTCTTCCCTGTGACTGTTATGGCTTATTTTATCGTTATATTCATGGGGAAGAGCTAAACCTGTAGGGGTAATGCAACAGCTATGAAACTGGGAACTAATTAGGTTTAATTCGTGGAAGGGGAGGAGCAAGAAGTGTTATTTTTTAATGCCTGACTTGGGGAAATAAATTTTCTCCCCCGAATTTTCTCCTTAAAGGTCAAGGGATAAATTGATCATTAAATAAATATATTTTGGAAATGTCAATCTTTTAAAATAAATTTGCAATGAATGACAGCAGGAAAGCCATAAATAGCATCAATTTAACATGCGTATAGGTATTTCCATTTGGAATGTATTAATACTTCACCGTTAATTTAAAGGCAATTTAAAGGTAAATAGAAAGAAAGAATTAAAGGGGAAGGTTAAGCGAGCAAACACGTGAGACATTTTACTAGGAAAACTTTGGATCCTGGGACCTTGTTTACTCCTTGTTGGAGAAATAAATATTTTGTTCGAATTATTAACCCCCCGGAGAGTTAATAAACCATTCAGAATAATCCAATAAAATCACCCTCGTTAAGATAAGATTTCGTTCGGATTTTTAACCCCGGAGGGTTAGCCACCCAGGATAACCCAAGAAAGTCAGTGCGTCATCGAGGACTGTCTAACTTATTTCCATTGGGGTCCTTAATCTTGTCCCCCAGGATGCGACCCATACCAGTCGACTAACACCCAGGTACCTATTTGCTGCTAGGTGAACAGGACAACAGGTGTAAGGAAACGTGTCGAATGTTTCCACCCGCCGGGAATCGAACCCGGGCCCTCCGTGTGTGAAGCGGGAGCTTTAGCCACCGGGCCACCGGACTATCTTACTTCCATCGTGTCCTTGAATCGTCTCCCCCAGTATGCGACCCACAAGAGTTGGCTAACATCCTGGTACCTGCTTCCAGCTAGGTGAACAAGGGTAGCAAAAGAAAGACTCGGCGAAAGCAAAAGACTCGGCAGACGATGCAACATCCCTCCAAAGAAAAGCAGGGGTGTCACTAGCACGTTACCAGACAACACAATAAGTGTCAGGGGCCCGAGACTGTTCAACTGCCTCCCAGCATACATAAGGGGAATTGCCAATAGACCCCTGGCTGTCTTCAAGCAGGCACTGGACAAGCACCTAATGTCGGTACCTGACCAGCCGGGCTGTGGTTCGTACGTTGGATTGCGTGCAGCCAGCAGTAACAGCTGGTTGATCAGGCTCTGATCCACCATGAGGCCAGGTCACAGACCGGGCCGCGGGGGCGTTGACCCCCGGAACTCTCTCCAGGTAAACTCCAGGTGTAAGGAAACATGCCCAACATGTTCCATTCGTCCGGGAACTGAACGCTATTAATAATAATAATAATAATCTAATTCTATAATTAGATGTACAAAGTAAACAGATCATAGCTGACATCAATGACATACTACTATACAGAAAACCCTTGTTATGCAGAGGATTTCGGGGAAATTAGGTCAGTTTTGTCATTGATGTTAACTGTCTGCATACGTTGTACATGTACTAGCAGAAATAAAGATTATTATTATTATTATTATTATTATTATTATTATTATTATTATTATTATTATTATTATTATTATTATTATTATTATTATTATTATTATTATTGAAGGAAAGAGTGACCAACGTTTAAGCTTAAGTAACTTTCATTTAATCTTTGAATATATAGCATAAGGTCATGTAGACGTAATGGGTACATTAGGTAGATTTAACATAGAATAGCCCAATAAAATAAGGCCCGGTGGCCTGGTGGCTAAAGCTCCCGCTTCACACACGGAGGGCCCGGGTTCGATTCCCGGCGGGTGGAAACATTTCGACACGTTTCCTTACACCTGTTGTCCTGTTCACCTAGCAGCAAATAGGTACCTGGGTGTTAGTCGACTCGTGTGGGTCGCATCCTGGGGGACAAGATTAAGGACCCCAATGGAAATAAGTTAGACAGTCCTCGATGACGCACTGACTTTCTTGGGTTATCCTGGGTGGCTAACCCTCCGGGGTTAAAAATCCGAACGAAATCTTATCTTATCTTCTAATCACAAGAGACATTCTCATTTATTTCACAGAACACAATGTGTTCTATAAAATCAGCAAGTTAAAACTTACAAACCCCAAAATCAAGATGAGGATTTCTTTGAGGGAAACACATCAGCACTTAAAGATTAAAGCTGACCAGGTGTATTCTGCAGCTATTGCACAGAATCCAACAATTTCAAGTTTATCAACTTGACTGTAAACTTAAGAAATCTGCACCTAAACAGCCGAAAACCCAAAATATTTTATATTTTATAAGACGCATCAGTCATTGAAAACTAATGCCAGGTATTTAACAGAAAAAAAGGGTGTACCATTTCGAAATAAAAACTGACACTTACACACTGTAACAGCAACATTCTTCCAAGTAGGAAACACGAGTGTTTAAAATCTGCTGCCAGCCGGAAGAAGCTTTGTAATGCTATCGTACGGAAACCAAAATTTGGGACGGCCCATATAAAACTGAGCATAAGGCACCTGTACACCTTAATTGTTACATAAACCTTGAACAACGATTCCGCCTTTATTTCAGAAATAGTGTAAAGGTAGAAGAGATGGAAACTGAATTTCATGTGGCTGCAGTGTGTCGGAGGACGCAAAAAAGAGCTAATCTTGGATGTTATCTACAGGTTTCCCTAACATGATAGTGACCGTGGTTAACTTCTATAGGACGAAATTGCTAAAAGCACCTAGCATTTACTTCATCACACAGGATGGCTTCCCTGTCATATTCTATCACACAGGATGATTATCCTGTCATGCTCCATCGAACAGTATGGTTATCGTGTCATATTCCATCACATAGGATAGTTCTCCTGTCATACTCCATCACAAGACAATACGGAAACTAGTGTTGGATAAACGAGGCTGTGTAGAGAAACAATGTGGTATACACTAGACAGTGTGGGAAAGCCTAGAGAGTGTGGTATACACTAGACAGTGTAGAGGAACAGTAAGGAACAAAAATGCACAATACCGTGACTGGAACAAAACACATATAAATCGCACATAGAACATAAAAGCTTGCGACGACGTTTCGGTCTGACTTGGACCATCTACAAAGTCACATTGTGACAGTGTGACTTTGTAGTCGGACCGAAACGTCGTAAGCTTTTCCTCTCTCATATGTGCGGGTTATTTTTGTAGAGGAATAGTGAGTGATGCTCTAAACAGTGTGGGTTACCCTAGACTGTGTGGGATACCCTAGACAGTGTGGGATACACTAGACAGTCTGGGATACACTAGACAGTCTGGGATACCCTAGACAGTGTGGGACATCCTAGACAGTGTGGGATACACTAGACAGTGTGGGATACACTAGACGGTGTGGGATATACTAGACAGTGTGGGATACACTAGATAGTGTGGGATACCCTAGACAGTGTGGGATACACTAGACAGTGTGGGATACCCTAGACCAGGGGTTCCCAACCAGGGGTGCGAGACATCATTCCAGGGGGTGCGAGAAGCGTCCGTCTTAATAACAGGAAATTGATTCATTTATTACTTATTAATATTCAATAATCATAGTAAAATTACCATTATCTTTATTTTCATCTCTTTATTTCAGATTATCATCATAACCCTTCACCATGTCGAAGAAAAGGAAATGGAATAATGACTACGTTCGTTTTGGTTTCACTTGCAACGGAAAGACTGAGGATCTGCAAAAGCCTCAGTGCATAATCTGTGGAATTGTTTTCTCCAACGCTAATTTGAAGTCATCTAGCTTCAAGAACACTTCAACAATCAACATGGTGGGGCCATTGTTGCGGGCCATGATTTTAAGTCGTTGCAAGCTAAAAGAGCCCGTTTTGATTCTCGAGCAACCCTTCCAAAATTAGGGTTTATATCTGTTGACAAACCACTGCTGATGGTTTCATACCAAGTGGTGTACAAAGTAGCAAAGTCTAAGAAACCTCATACTATTGCAGAAGAGCTTATCAAACCATGTGCATTAGAAATGGCTACAACTATTCTCGGAAATGAAGCAAGAAAGAAGCTTGAATTAGTGTCACTGTCAAATAATGTTATTCGAAGTCGAACTGGCGATTTAAGCTTAGATATTTTGGAACAAGTTATCTCACATATGAAGGCTAGTCCCTTGAAAATCTCCCTTCAGTTGGACGAAACTACTGATGTTTCTAATTGCAGTCAACTTATTGCACTGGTGAGGAATGTTCATGATGGTGCCATAAAGGAGAACCTCATTCGATAGTAGTACGTGTGGTTGTAGTGCATGCAGGTCGGTAGTGGTGCGTGTGGTCGTAGTGCATGCAGGTCAGTAGTGGTATATGTGGTGATAGTGCAACCACCAAAGCAAAAGATGTGTTTCGGTTTGTGAAAGACTTCTTTGTAAAATATGAATTGGATATCCAAATTATTGGATCTGTGTGTACTGATTGGCGCTCCTGCTATGCTGGGAAATAAATCTGGGTTTTATTTGCACTGATGAAACAGGAGATTCCATGCTTGCAAGGTACTCACTGTTTCCTTGATCGTCATGCTTTGGCATCAAAAACCTTGCCTCCAAAATTGAAGAAAGTCCTTGATACTTCAGTAAAGACCATCAACTGGATTAGGAGTCGTGCTCAAAATCACCGCCTTTTTAAGTCACTTTGTGAAGATCTTGGAAGTGAACATACAGTTTTGCTTTTCCACACAGAAGTCCGATGGCTCTCCCGTGGGAGAGTTTTAACCCGCTTCTTCGAACTGCGAGAAGAAATCAAAGTATTTCTGAAGGAACGTCGCTGTGATCTGCTTGAAGAGTTGGAATTGCAAGAATTCAATCAAATCTTAGCGTATTTGAGTGACATATTCACTCGTATGAATGATCTGAGTTTATCACTTCAAGGTAAAAATATAAACATGCTGAATTGCTAT